AAAGTGTCCTTGTCACTATTTTTCTAGCGTGTTTTACTACACAATTCAATCCCTTCTTGCTTTTCTGTTTTAGTTATTTAGATTCCATTGACTTTTCTGTTCCCCTTTCTTCCTCCTTGATTTCACATCTGTTAGATTCAGTCCCAATTTCTCTTCCATGAAATCTCTAAAACATGGCTAGACTAGTGTGTCCATCCATGCTATTTTATACTGATATAGGAAGAAAAAAAAAATCTTTTCATTGAGTCCATTCCTTTGCACATCTCCAGACTCCCCCTCATGGTCATGCCTCTGTAAATGTCCAGCTCATGTGAGCTGCTCCCCTGTACATTAATTCACACAACAAAAACTCAGAAGAAAGGGGTATAGAGTGGTTGGTGGTTCTGCTTAGTTTGTGCTATTCAGCCTATATCTGCAAGCTGTAAATTGTGGAGCTCTATCTTGGGGCTTGATTCTGCTACTGTTTCTTCAGGATAAGGCTCTTGAGGAGATTCTTGTCAGAATACATGTTAATTGAACTTCCCTAAGTTGAAGAACTTATCAGTCCCTATTATCTTTCCAGCTGGGAACTGGAGTTGTTCAGCCTGGAGAAAAGGAGTCTGAGGGGAGACCTTATCACTCTCTACAACTACCTGAAAGGAGGTTGTAGCGAGGTGGGTGCTGGTCTCTTCTCCCAAGTAACAAGTTGATAGGACAAGAGGAAATGGCCTCAAGTTGTGCCAGGGAAGGTTTAGATTGGCCATTAGGAAAAATTTCTTCACTGAAAGGGTTGTCAGACATTGGAACAGGCTGCCTAGGGAAGTGGTTGAGTCACCATCCCTGGAGGTATTTAAAAGACATGTAGACTTCTGTTTGGTGTCTTGTGTAACACTTAAGTAACGAACAAACTTAAGTAACAAGATGAAGTGAGTAAACATTTTAAGCCCATACTTTGTAAATCTTACCCCCTAAGCAGTGTCACCAAGACACTACTTAGTCTAGTAAATCTACGGTAAATGTTTTAGTATTTCAAAGTCCTCTTTAGTTGTTTTGTTGACCGTTACACTGAACACAAGACTTGAGTAGATTTCCCATATTCCCTGACATTCTTTTCTATTCCACCTGATATCTATAAAGTATAAATGTTAAAACTGGCCACCTTCATTATCATCTAATATAACTGCAGTTAGTCACAAGAAAGAAGGGAAATTTAAGAGAATATTTATTTACCTTACATTTTGACATTCTATACCTAACTTTTGTTTTACTTCAAACAGGCTTTGAACAAGTAATTGCTGAACAATTACAAGTAGTCAAGGAAGTTTATACTTTTATAAGAAGAAGTTAAACAATTTACATCTATATAAATTCTCATAAAATACAATTAATGCCTTACACAACTTTATAATATGTTTAATAGTCTATTTTATGTTAACTAAAAATAATAGTATGTTGTGCAGTATATCTGCAGATTGGTTAATAACATAATATATGGGTGTAAGAAAAGATCAGAAGATAATTAGTAGTTTAGTTCTATCCTTTTGAATATACTTCATTTGTAATTTTGCTCTTTCTGTACCTTATTCATCTCTAATTTTATTTCTAATTTTAATATACTCCTAATTTTTAGTATTTTAATGACAAGCTTTTCAAAAAAAGTTATGCTATTATACGATTTCTACAAATGGGAAGTTATTTCTATTTGTGCTAAGGAAAGATGGTAGAAGAAAATAGAGTCATCAGAGAAGAGACATACCTACGTTGAATTAACTGAGTTTGTCTAGTCGCTAGCTAGTCATTCTTTAAGTGTGTGATTTGTTTGTTTTTACTTACCTGTTTCACTAAAAGACTCAGTCAAATGTTGTGCATACATTCAACTTTAGATCATAGAATCACAGAATAGTTTGGGTTGGAAGGGACCCTTAAAGGTCATCTAGTCCAACCTCTGCAATGAATAGGGACATCTTCAACTAGATCGGGTTGCTCAGAGCCCCATCAAACCTGACCTTGAATGTTTCCAGGGATGGGGCATCTACCACCTCTCTGGGCAACCTGTTCTAGTGCCTCACCACCTTCCTCAGAAAAAATTTCTTCCTTATATCTAGTCTGAATCTACCCTCTTTGAGTTTAAAACCACTACCCCTTGTCCTATCGCTACAGGCCCTGCTATAAAAGTCTGTCCTCATCTTTCTTATAAGCCCCCTTTAAGTATTGAAAGACTGCAATAAGGTCTCCCTGGAGCCTTCTCTTCTCCAGGCTGAACAACCCCAGCTCTCTCAGCCTGTCCTCACAGGGGAGGTGCTCCAGCCCTCTGATCATTTTTGTGGCCTCCTCTGGACCTGCTCCAACAGGTCCATGTCTTTCCTGTGCTGAGGGCTCCAGAGCTGGATGTGGGTAAAGAATATCGTATGTGTTTCTAAGTTTTGATGGAAGGCTGTCATAGCTTTTAATGGACAATTAAAATTATGTGTTCGTATCTGGGTTTTTTTTATGAAAGTAAAATAATGGAAAAAGCATATGAAGATTAGACTTCTGCTGTTAGCCAATTTTATGATTTTGAATTTGATAGTTTTCATACTATTTCATTTTTCTCATTTCAAGGATAATGCTTCCAAACACAATAGCCAGTTCTAGTATCCTGTTCATGTTTAACAAAGAATTATTTTTATTTCTAAGGCACCTTTACAGCATGGGTGCTTCACTGACGTAATTACTGAGCTAACTACTTTCTTAAAATTGACCCATCTGATTTTAAAAAGTCCCAAAGAATTACATTCCTTTTAAATTATACACTTATGTTTCTGATAATGCATGCTAATCTTATCAGTCACATGTTAGCAAAGCGATGGCTTTTTTCCCTATGAGACCAGAGTGGAGTATATAATCAGTCTGTCATTTTTATAAGCCAAATATCACATGATTCAAATCCTGTTAGTGAGCAGGTTTATTTTTATTTCGTATTCCGAACTATGCATTCTATTTTTAAAAATCCAGGTTTCCTGGAAATTGTGCAAATATGGAATAAAATACGCAGAGCTAGGCCTAAATCAGGGACAGGCATCATTTTCTTTTTAAGTCTAAAAGTTTATAATCCCTAGAATTCTCCCTTCAGATTAAAATATGGACTCTAAACATTTAAAAACTATTTGGAAAACACTTCTAAGACCAAAGAGAATGTGATCGAAAAGAAAATGTGCTCAAAATAGGGAAGAGTTTAGAAGTCAATCCCTTGGTGTGGTTCTGCTGGACCTGAATACTGTCACTTGAAATACATTATCATCTTTGCATAAACTTTGTAGCTGTGAGGAACAGCATGCTGTCCAGTGGGCGCTATCATCCATCATTAAGAAGTAAACTGTGCTGTTTAACAATATTGTAAAAAGATGGAATGGTGTGTTGCTGCAAAACAGGGAACACTAATTAAGTTTTAAAAATACTTCAGAGCTATTTAAACATCTACAGAATAATAATTTCATATTTGTGTATTTGAGGGTGTACCTACAGCTTGAATCAATGTTGTAGCTAAACAGTGTTGAAAATAAGTTTATGTGAAAGTAGTGTAACTCTTCCCTCCTGTTCTTAAGCACTGGAAAGTGAGACAACACCAATAACTACCCAGTAGATGCATCTAAAATACATATCTCAGAGAAGGAATTTTAGTTTCCAACACTGAGCATTGACAAACACAATAATGAATGTGTTCTATATTTTTAAAATAATCTAGTTTGCTGCTAGTCTTGCAGCAAGGAGGTACACATCAGTAATTGCAGATATAATCCACTTTCCTATTTGATTTTCTTCCAAAATTCCTCAAAAATTGAGTGTGTCGGAAGTGGTTTGACCTGGACATGGTATTTTAAATGCTTTTTGACTGGCCATAGCAATTATTTCTGCCAGTGGAGAAAATTAAATAGGAGAAGAAAGTAGAATTTTTCAGTTCAAGAGTGCCAAGAAATGTGTTGTTTCTCGTAAAAGACTGATTTGGTGTGCATTAGTGAAAATTGGTTTGCTGAGTTCTCCTTGCTTGTTAAAAGTCACTCGCAACTTCTTTAACTCTGCATTTTGCATACAGAATTGTAAAGTAGGTGTTTATAGCATTAGCATTTTAAAGGCACTGATAGCTGGGCAGATCCTGTCTTAGGAGTGCCAAGAATTTTCTTCTCTTTTTATCACTGTTTAGCACATAATTTCCCTGGCCCTTTCTGCTGTCTGTAAGAAGAGTCAAGTCCCTTTTTGTTAAATTCCCTGTTTCTCCTTTTCCTTCTGATTAAACTTCTGATTGGGTTGTTCTTGTTAAATGCCCACAGAAACAAGGGTTCTGTATGCAAGACCCTAAGAGCAAAACGCAAGAAAGTGAGGAATCAGGTCTGTGTTCTTCTTTCCCCTTATCTCAATAGTGCTCTCAGTAGACTGGTCTGTAGCTGCACACAAGAGGGATTTAACTACCCCTAGACAAGAACCCCTTCTAATTTGCCTCTCCGCCTATTACCACATCAGTGAGGCTGGTCAGTCAATTCCATGTAAAGCAATGGGGCAGACATTAAGGAAAAACTGGCAGATGCTTTCATTTCAAGGTTTTCAGAGGAAATAAAATGTGTAGCCTGGCAGATGGCCTACTAAAATATTATATTCTATATATACAACAGATTGAGCCAGCTAGCTTTTGGCTTTTTCCAGAGGAGTATCTTCTTTTCTTGACACTGCAGCTTTTTTGGTAGGAAAGATACTCCATAAAACCCAGATCCTGCAAGAACAGAGAAATTGTTTGCCTGGTCACATTTTCAGTGAGCAATACAGGCCAATTGTCCTTTTGCTTTTGATATTCTCAATTTAAAGATGTATTTTGATCTACTTTTGGTACTTCATTGAGTGCCTTTGAATAGTAATAGCAGTTTGTTGGGCTCGTGCCTAAAATAAGGTAGTGGTGGTAGTTCTTACAGATAGAATGTGTACCAAGCAGAGCCAGAACACCTTTAATTTCTTTGAATCTAACGATGTCTGTTCTATGTATTTTGTTTCAGAATTAAAGTGGCTCAGCAATCAGTAAGCAAGTTAACTGCAGAGAAGAAAGTTGAAACAAAGAAAATCAATCCTACAGCTAGCCTGGTATGATGTTTCTCAGTATGACATTCAGAAGGGTTTTTCTGACACTATATTCTTGTCATTCAGAATGGTGGCAGGTTTCTGCTGTTGTTGAAGGGTGACATAGTATGCTTAGTTTGAATGTAGCAGAGTGATTTTCTTCCCAAGGAGAAATCTTTAATCTTATGCCCTATGGTAGTCCAACAGTTAACGTTTAAAACTTAGTTTAGTTGTACCTAAGCATGGCTCTGCTCTTTTAGATAACAAAATATGATAAGAGCTGCTTTTCTGGTTTCTTCCCCCCTTCCACTGAAGTCTCTTGTGTTTTCTTCCATGCTCCATAGTGCACTGAGGCTCAATGCATATATTTGTCCAATGGCTGAGTGTCTGGTTTTTTTCAAAACCTTACAAAACCCTGTTTGCTCTGTTGAATAACGGTAGAAGGGATTAAATCCCCATTTTGTTCCTTGCTGTTTCCCAGTTTTTTTAATACGACGCAAAAAGACGACTAATAACTTGCACTGTAGATAAAACCTTTTTTGTCTGTGAGCAAGACACATAGGTGAGATCAGCATTTCTCAAACTGTAGGAACCAAGAGACTAAGGGAAGGAAACGTACATGAAGGAATCAGTATATTACTTTCATTCCCAGCAGAGCATATCAGTTGCAGGACAGGCAGCAGAGATGTGAATGACTACATTTGCTTGGGAAGAGGTCATTAAACAACAGAATCTAGCTAATGCTAAATTAGAGCCTTTATGTCAGCAGAAACCATTCCAGACAAGAAAAGGTATTAGATTCACATGAATTTGAAATGTATCTGGTTTTCTCTAGCTGCACTGGTCTTCACAGAGCTGAGCGGTTTTAAAGGTACATGGTATTTGACAAGTGTGTAGCTAAAGCAAGCTCAGTTTTTCTACAGTAAGTAATGAATTGGTTCTGAGCCTTGCTTGAGTGCTCCAGGCGTTAATTTTTTTTTTAATTAAAGAAAACTCTAATCTATTGTGACTAGTTTAGTACTTCTCAGTCTTCTAGACCAAATGCTTATGGCAACTTGAGTGGAGATGGAAAAATTGTAGACAAGAATGATAATAAAACTCTTTCTTTTTCATTAACAGAAAGAAAGACTACGTCAGAAGGAAGCCAATGTGACCGCCAACTGAAAGAAGAAAGATGCAAATGATAGTGTGACTTCATACCTTGCATGATGCTTTACTACACCCATGGCCCAGGGAGCACCTTATGTTAGATACTGAATTCTGCTTTGCTGATCTGTTCCAAGACAATCCACTAAAGACTTTTCAGTTCCTTCAGAGGGGTTTGTACATTCAGTGGAGGGAATTCTAAGATGGTTTTTACATGGGAAGTCAAAATTATTTTCTGTAACTCTTCCTTTAAGCAATGTAATTGCTTAAAATGCATCTGGTTGTTAACGGTTATTTAAAGTACTCTGTGGATAATGCACTAATATGGAAGAGCTAAAATGAGCATTTTGGATGCTGAGTTAAGTAATGACTAACAACCTGTAGGTTATTTACAGGGCTTTGTGTAGATGAGAGCAAATACGCCATTCAGCTCACAAAAGACCATTACATCATACTTTTTGTTACTTCAGCAGTAACTGAGGTAAAATTGACTGATTCTAAATAATTTTACAGTGTCTAAGTATTGGATGCATCTTTCTAAAACTGATTAAATGTAACTATAGATTTATGCTGTATTTTACTATAAATATTTTTATAGAAGCTTCAGCTTATGCCACACGTTGAAATGGAAACAATATTTTGCACATGAAAAGGAATAGCTTCAAATTCTTTAGTTTTATGATTGATGGCATAACTGATTCCTTGTTTCTATGGTTTTAACCTAACATTTCCTAAATTTTGAGCTTCAAAAGAAAAATTATTAAAATGTATATTTTTATTTCAGTATATATTGAAAATATGAATTCCATAAAATGATGGTTTTATTAGTCATTATTCATTGAACTAAAATACAATAATATGTCTCCATGAAGTTACACATTTGCCATTAAATCTCTGGCTTTTAATTCCATTGAAAGCTTTCTTTTAAACAGTGAATATCTCACTCTAAAATATATTAAGCAGCCTGCTCTTGTCCCCTATATTTGTATGAAGAATGTGTCCAGCATACATATGTGCTTATATACATATATATAAAATTTAATAAGTAAAACTTGAGGAAGAAATAAAAGAGTCTCGCTGTCCTCCTGTAACATTTTAACCATTGCCCGTAAAGTAGAAGAGCCTGAAAGAAACCCTATAGAATATCCACTGTTACTTGAAGATTTTTACTGCATTTTAAGGATTTGGATTCTTAGGAGAGATCTTGAAGCAGAAGTTAATTTAAGGTAAAACAGAAAAGTGATTTTTAAATACAAGTAGGTAACGGCCTGTAAATAGGAACAACAAACGGAGAAAACATGCTTCTGCTTGCTGTCCATAAGAGAGAAATCCCTTTCTTTATAATGGTGTCTGAAGTTCGTTACGAAGAGAAATTAGGTGAAGCAAAAAAGTACAAAAAGGTAATGGGGGGAAGGTATTAATCCTTTGCGTAGAAGCTGGAAAGAATATACACGAGACAGACATGGGTTATCCATACAGCAAATTAGAGAAACTGTGATGAAACCTAAGGCAAAGTCATCCCTAGAAGTGTACGCTTATTAAGAAAAACAGCAATTGTGGAGACCCCCATTCATGAATTAACTTGAAGATTTCATATTTTGCAGGTTTCTTCAATGAGTATCTCTCATTCCTGCATAAATAAAAACAGGGGAATCAAGATTCCCTTGTATGCTTTGGAGTTTCTAGCTGCTGCAGATATACTCAAGATGTGTAAGCATAATTCTTATGAAAACAGTCAACAATATACCAGCAAAAATAATCTGATTTGTAGTTTGCCTATTCCCATTGCAGAGAAATAAATTCCAAAGATTGAAGTTTTCTGTCTTCCACCAAATAGGTAAAGCACACTTGTTTCCAATATTATTAGTGATAAACAACCAGAGCAATAATGCTTATAAAAGCCAAAGAACAACAGCAAGCAAGGCAATTCAGATGAGTGTTTAAGCAAATAAGTGTTGAGTTTTGATACGGTTTTCTATCTATCGTGAAGGTAGTGTATATTGCTATCTGACTTGATAGGGAATTTTTCAATTAAATGTTCTAATTGAAATATTAATCAAGAAGAGTAACACTGTGAAAAAGGATTGGTCTTGAAAATTCTCATTAGAAATATATTATGGAAAAAAGTTTTTAAATTATTGAAATATCCTGTTTCAAAATTTCTAAATGTGAAGTTTCATGTTTCAGTTCAAATTTACTTTTCATTTTGAAATGTTGAAAAATGTATATAAAAAGGGATTAAAATTAAAATTATTGATATAAAGCATTCCTTGATAAGATTTATAATTCTGTTTTCAGATTATCAATTTGCCAAAGTTTTGAGAATTTAGGCTATTTTTTCAGAAGATTAGAAAACTTACATAGCACAGAGACATTGTTTCCTCCTCATCTTCAATTGTACTGATTTTTCTCTAAAGACAGAGATTCTGATTCCAACTTAACCCATGACTTAAATCCTCTACTACTAGTTAAACTATTTTTAAGTGAAAAAAAGAATTGACCCACACTATTTGATACATTCTCTTAATCAAGACTAAGACTCCTGGATGGAATTCATCAGCTAAATATCACACTTACACCCCTAGTGATACCCCAAAGTGTCTTCAGACAGTGATTGAAGTGACAATGGTACACTTGCTGACCTTAACTAAAATGTTGTATTGCAGAAGAGATATTAACAGATATTATATATCTATGTAAGCTGTTCAATCATGAATTATTTAGACACTACAGACATAACAAGTGCATCAACCAGCATTCATCTTGGGGTCACCAAGTGTCACCAAAAGTTATGTTTTAAGCTTGTATATAGTTTGGTGCCTGACTTTACCCTGAGCTTTCTAGTTTGGGGGGAATAAAAGAAGAGGAGAAAAGAAAGAAAATAAAAAGGTGGACTGGAACAGAAGTCTCTGGTACATGTCTACATTGCTGTCAAGGAAGTAAAAGTAAAGAGTAGACTAAATTAAGCCAAGTAGCAATAGCTAGACAGTTACAATTTTCTGGGCTATGTAATTTAAAATACCTCTACACTACATAGAAGTCACTTCTGTGATGATAAAGTAGATGTGGCTTAAGAGGGGGGTTTTTTTCTGTTCTTTGTTTTGTTTTCAACTCTTCTATTATTGCCAAGCTTCTCAAAGTCTGTAAAGCAAAGCACTATTAAACCCTATATTACTCAGTAGGTGCTTATTACGCAGGAAAAGTATATACATTACTGATTTGTAAATTGAATTATTAGGAAGAATTCAGTTTAGATGAGTAAATATCAATAATTTGTGAAGTGCTCTTTACCTTATTTACAACATTACCACTTACTGATTTTAAACTGAAAGACCTTTTAGCATCTTTGAGATATTTTGACAATATAAATTATATTTTCATTATGTTTTTATTAATCTATGAAAACTACCCAGGTGTTTTGCCATGACTAACACATGTAAATGTTTATCATGTGCTTTATTATACGGTTGTGAAAGTGTAGATTGAATATTATACTTTTGTATTTAACTTAGAAATTTTCTGCAGCAAAACAGAAACTGTATGATCTTCAGTTTCTGTACATATAGAAAATTAACGTAGAATGGATGGAATATTCAGAAAGCAGAGAGAAAAATAATTGAACATCTTAAGCAGTTCTAGGAAGGATAAAGTTTACATAGGGTTTTAACCTTTCTGAATTGCTGAGAATATCTCCTCCAACCAGATATGAAAAGCCAGGTTATCTCTGACCAGTCTATGTTTTTTCTACATGAAACATGAATAAAATATTTTGTTTTCCATATGATGTACAGGGTTCTTATTGCCCTGATTTTCCAGTAAATTGTTAGCAATTTCTTTCTTAGATCTAAACATCTTTCCTAGCTGATGATATGGGGCAGTGGAAGACTGCATATTTACTTATTTGTTAATACTATTTCTTCATTGTTTTAGGGCAATATCTTAAAAATGGATGCCTTAATCTCGTGTAGGTGTGGAATTTCAGAAACACCCAAACAAGTTAGAAATATTCATCTCATTACAGCATTGATGTGTTTTTGAAAATCCACCTCCATAAGCTGTGTTTAGTCACCAGTCTAAGTTTATAATTTCAGAAAATCATATCCACCTAGTTTTTGCTCATTCTTGGCCTTGTCTCAATCCTGTTTAATATTGTTACGGATCTTGCTCTTTCTTTTTTTTCTTTTTCTTTCCTTTTTTTTTAACGCCTTTAGAATTTATTAATGCCAGTTAGTGAATTTCAGAATTTGCAGTCTGGAGAGTTCTCTTTGGCATTCCTTTCAAGATAAGCCTATGTATTTTCATATAAATGTAAAGAAAATAAAAAAGAAAGTTAAGAGGTAACTTGCTTGTAGTCAATAAGTTGTTTCAAAGAGAGAAGATACTAGGAACTAAACAGTTCCCTGAGGCAGCAAGAAAAAATATAACAAAAACAATATAAAAATTAAAACCAGATTAATTAAAATCAGCAATGAATTCCAAACTATTAGTAATGAGGCTAGTTAACCACTGGAAGAAGTTAGCAAAGATAATTGTAGTTTCTCCATTTCTGATGCTTTCAAATCCAGATCGAAGATCTTTCTCAAAGGTTTGTGTAGTCTAATACAGCTTATTGGACTCAGTTCAGATGTACCTAAGTGGCATCCCATATCCATTGACTCGCTAGTCCAAATAGTTCCTCTAGACAGAAGAATATAAGAATAAGTATGTCAAAAGACCTAATAAAATATTTTTTTCTCAGCTATAATAAAATATTCTTATCCAAGCTAGAAGAGCTCTTTGTTGTGAGTTAAATTTAAAAGATCACAAAGTGTGGTGTAGAACAATATAATGCAGGAAACCATTGTCAAATTATAAACATTTGTATTTCAAATGATTAATTAATTAATATCTATCTGATCCATCTTGTGATATTTACAAGGTAGCAAATTTATATGCTCTGGAATTCAACATTGGTTTAAAGATTCCCAAGCTACGTCTGGGAATACTGGCATTTTGGATTGTACAATGTGAAATCCCAGAATCACAGAAACCCTAGTTCCTTAGTATTTGTCAAAGGTTTGAGCATATGCAAGGGAGTTTACCTTGGGTACAGCTAATGTGATGCAAAATTTAAATAACGGTCTCTCATTTTAGTGAATTATTATATATGACCGGTTAATATCATTACCAAACACTTCCACTGCTCAGTAGGGTTTGAACCATAACAATTTTATGCAATTGTTTTAGAGATCTAAAGTTCAAAAGTTGTGCAAGCAAAAAGACTTGGTTTTGCAAGTTTTTTCCAAAATGCCTGCAAGAACTTTTCTTTCTTGATTTTTTTTTTAACATTGTTTTCAGTTCAATAAATATTCTTAGAAACATTACTAAAATGGATGTTAGGTTTTTTCTACTTGTTGAAAATGTGGTACACCTAAACTGTAATATTTTCAGTAAATTTGGCAAGCTTCAACTGGCTTTAAATGATTTTGATTTGATACCTCATAGAATTCAAGATTTTAAATTAGGGCCTCTTTGTAAAACGTAAGCACTGGGTATAAGAGAACATTTGTTTTAAGCAGCAATGAATTAAAAATGCTGAACTGATAACTTAGACTCAGAATGCACCACCTTCCTGC